ACAGCATTCATGCATCTGATGAACAACGTGCTTCGGCCTTATCTTGATTTGTTCGTGATTGTCTTCATTGATGATATTCTGGTGTACTCGCGTAGTCAGGAGGAGCACGCGGGGCATTTGAGAGTTGTGTTGCAGAGGTTGAGGGAGGAGAAGCTTTATGCAAAGTTCTCCAAGTTTGAGTTTTGGCTTAGTTCAGTGGCATTCTTGGGGCACGTGGTATCTAACAGGGGTATTCAGGTTGATTCGAAGACGATAGAGGCAGTTCAGAGTTGGCCCAGACCGTCCTCAGCTACAGAGATTCGCAGCTTTCTTGGTTTGGCGGGTTATTACTGTCGATTCGTTCAGGGATTTTCATCTATAGCATCACCCGCAACCAAATTGTCTCAGGAAGGTACTCCTTTCATGTGGTCGGATGAGTGTGAGGAGAGCTTTCAGAAGCTCAAGACTGCCTTGACCACAACTCCAGTATTAGTTTTTCCATCAGCTTCAGGTTCATATACCGTGTATTGTGATGCTTCAAGAGTTGGTCTTGGGTGTGTGTTGATGCAGGAGGGTAGAGTTATTGCTTTTGCTTCTCGTCATTTGAAGCCCTATGAGAAGAACTACCCTATTCACGATCTAGAGTTGACTGCCATTGTTGACGCATTGAAGATTTGGAGGCATTATTTTTATGGCGTGTATTGTGAGGTGTTTACTGATCATCGTAGCCCCTAGAACTTGTTCAAATAGAAGGATCTCAATTTGAGGCAACGGAGATAGTTGTAGCTGCTAAAGGATTATGATATTACTATCTTGTACCATCGGGGAAGGCCAATGTAGTGGTTGATGCTTTGAGCCGGAAGGCGGTGAGTATGGGCAGTCTTGCATTTATTCCCATTAGGGAGATACCTCTTGTAGTTGATGTTCAGGCCTTGGCCAATCGGTTCGTAAGGTTGGATATTTTGGAGCCCAGTCGGGTATTGGCTTGTGTGATTTCTCGGTCTTCCGTATTTGATCGCGTCAGAGAGTGCCAGTAGGATGATCCTCATTTGTTTGTGCTTAAGGACAGAGTTCAGCATGACGATTCCAGAGATGTGACTATTGGTGATGACGGGGTGTTGAGGATGCAGGGCTGGATATGTGTGCCTAATGTGGATGGGCTTCGGGAGCTAATTCTAGATGAGGCCCATAGCTCACGGTATACCATCCATCCGGGTGCCGTGAAGATGTATCAGGATCTGAGACGACATTATTGGTGGAGGAGAATGAAGAAGGACATTGTGGGATTTGTAGCTCGGTGTCTCAATTGTCAGTAGGTGAAATATGAGCATCAGAGATCGGGTGGCTTGCTTCAGCAGATGGATATTCCAGAGTGGAAGTGGGAGCGGATCACCATGGACTTCATAGTTGGGCTCCCACAGACTTTAAGGAAGTTCGATGGTATTTGTGTGATTATCGATCGGCTGACCAAGTCCGTGCACTTCATTCTTGTGTGTACTACCTATTCTTCAGAGCGGTTGGTGATAACTAGGGATTTTGACGCATTTTATACTCCTTCTTGCTCATGCTTTGATTAGAAACTCATACAAAATAGTCCCAAAAGGCTCATAAGTTGTGCTTGATTGCAGGTTTGAACAACAAAGTGACAAGATGTCAAAGATCAACTCAAAAGGAGTGAAACTTGCACAAGTACCAAAGACAAGACAAGCTCAGGCAAAATAGGTCCAGTGCGGACGCACACCACTTTATGCGGTCCGCACTAGGAGGTTCAGAGAGTAGGTATTCAGGCTAAAAGGCAATGTCGCACTAGATTTAGTGCGGTACGCACTGGAGTCCATGCGGCCGCACTACAATTCTGTGCGGTCTGCAGAGCCAAGATTCAGAGAAGTTGCAGTTTGGAGCTTTCAAGCCAATGAAGTCTGCAGTCCATTTTGTGCGGACCGCACTAGAAGTCACTGCGGCCGCAGTCCATTCTGTGCACTCCACGGAGCCTGAGTTCAGAGAGCTAGATTTTGGAGCCAAGAGTCCTAGTGCGACCACAGTCCATTCTGTGCGGTCTGCACTAACCCCGCAGGGGCATTTTTGTCCAGATTTTTCAGCTTAGTATAAATAGATCCTTTTTCCATTTTTAGTTCTGCAGATAGTTTTTAGAAGCAGTTGCGCTCGTGGGAACGACTCTTGTAGCCATTTTGGGCAACTTTAACTACATTTCATCATTGAATCTTTGTATTTAGCTTAGCAATTAATTAATACTCCCTCCGTTTCAATTTATGTGAACCTATTTCCTTTTTAGTCCGTGCCAAAAAGAATGACCTATTTCCTTATTTGAAAACAATTTACCTTTATGCAATGATTTATAGCCACACAAAATATATGTGCTTCATTTTACACCACAAGTTCAAAAGTCTTTTCTCTTTTCTTAAACTCTGTGCCCAGTCAAATGGGTTCACATAAATTAAAACGGAGGAAGTATGTGTTTATCTTCATCTATTTATTGTTTTTCTTCTTTGAATATGAGTAGCTAGACCCCATAGCTAGGGTTGTGGCTCAACCCTAGTGTGGGTAATTGATGGGTCTTGTATTTTAGGGCTAAATTGATTATGGGTGTTTGATATTTAGGTCAATTTCATGGTTAATTGCTGAATTGGTGGTTGCAAACACTAGTTTGTGTTTAGTTGACTAGGGCTCTTATTGAGAAAGAGATCCTAAGTCTCCGAAATTTATCTAACAAGGAATTGGGGCGTACTCAAGAGATTGATAGCCCCAATTAAAGGGTTAAACCTCGAGAGAGTAATACCCGACTTGAACCCGAAGTTGCTTGTGCAAATTTGCATACCCAGTTGGTCTTGAGAAAGTTAATTGGGCAAAATCACTTGAACCACCGAGAGGTGTAGAGCGGGTAAAGTAGTGCAACAGTTATATCATACTCCCCAATCATGTCAATTTTTCCTTAGACTCAAGTACCCGTCAATTGAACACCAAGGCGGATGTCACTACCCTAGTGCCCTTTAAACTATTTGAACAACCCATAGCATTTAACTCTTAGCTTAATTTACAATTTGTAGTTTGTTAAAAGTAGAATTATAAAGAAAACCCCAAAATTGATGAGAAGTGTAATTTGGAACACTTACGCAAGCCTAAGCTAAATAGACACTCAATTCCAATTCTAGCTCTCTGTGGATATCGATATCGACCCAAAATCGGGTAAACGCTGCTCCGACCCTCTCTCGCTATATAATTAGTAGTGCAGAGTAGGTTGCGATCACTTTTTGGTGCCGTTGCCGGGGATCAAACCCAGGTCACCCACGTGACAGGCGAGAATACTTACCACTATACTACAATGACAATACCCCAGTTTCCTCACAATGTACTTTCAGGACTTGAAGGTGGAAAAGAGGCCCTTTGTCACACCTCCTTTTTCCGCCCCCGCGAGGGTACAAGGAGTTTTTTCCAATTAAAGGACAATCGAAACAGGATTTATTTATTTATTTCAGAGTCGCTACTTGGGAGATGTAGGGTGTCCCAAGTCACCAATTTTAATCCCAAATCGAGGAAAAGAATGACTCCATATTACAGTCTGCGTACCAGAAATCCGGATAAGGAATTCTGTTAACCCGGGAGAAGGTNGTACAAATGTGTATCTGGAATTCGAATTACAAATAGAGAAAAGAGGTCAGGAGCAACAATGTACAGCAGTAGCACAGCAACAGAATCCCACAGCAAATAACAACAACAAAAACCAGCAATAACCAGTGTAACAATGGTCAGAACCAAACTGAAAAACCCCGGAAAGCCTGACTGAAAATTCATTAGCACTAAACGCAATCCACAGAAGCAGTAACAAAGTTTTGATTTCAGTAGTAAAGAAAAGGACCTCACTTTCAATTTTTAGCTCTCAAAGACTGACTTTTAATTCTGAAAAAATTAGCCTATTTCTCACTTTGAAGTTCTGAAAAAATTTTCTTCTCTAAATTTTCCAGTCCCTTTATCTCTATATCAACTCCTCCTATTTATAGGCTAGAACTAAACATTATTTATTCAAAGTTTTTCACTTTCAGCCTGTATATTCCTTCCCATGTGCATCTATACACTTTTATCATTAATCCCATGCTTATTTTCTGATTTTTCCACCTTTAAAGATACTAGACAGGGTGTATTCTGCACTGCTAATTCCCTTTTCATTAAATAATTCATTAATTTTAATTATACACTGAATATTCAACTGGCAGACTACTAACACTAAACATTTAAAAAATTTTAACACCTAAAAATAACCCTGAAAATCCCCTATTATTATTGCCTTGCCCTCACTCTTAGCAATCTGTATTTAAACCTCTCTGATTTACAACTACACCAAATCACTACACAGCTACAACCAATCCTTAAGTCAAATTCACACAAATGATTCAAGCATCAAAATAGACCAACTAAGTGATTCATGCTGTATTCGTCCAAACAAAGCAGTCATAAACTAACTATTTGACGAAGTTGTTCAAATCGAATGTAGCTTACAATGCACACTCAAACAAACAGAAGAAAAATCTTGACCAAATAAAAGGTCTTTGAAGAAGAAGGAGAACTAATGAGCAAGACAAGATTTACAAAAATAACATTTTAAACAAAGATTCAATAATCCGAAAAATAGAATGAACAAAAACAAGATTACAAACAACACTTAAAACCAAAAACCATAACAGAAAATAAATCAAATGAACTAAATAATCTTGAAAGAGAAAAAAAAATCTAAAACTTGAACGAACCCAAGTTGAAACTCGGACTTGAACTATTGGAGGTCGAACGGACTATTTTGTGGACGTCGAAAAAGGACAAAGCAGAAGCTAGTCGTTTGGACTGTGGCGGACTGACTGGAAGGAGACAAGGTGGTCGTGAGGAGCAGCAGCAGCAGCGAACAGCTGCTGCTCGACGGGCTGGGGTGTGACGACGGGCAGCAGCAGTAGCAAGCAGCAGCGACGGGGCAGTGGGTTTGGTCGATGAGCATCTGAAGTAGTGAGGCGTGGTCGATGGGGAACAGTAGCAGACGCGGGAGGGCAGTAGCGGCAGCACTGCTCGTGAGGAGCAGCGGGGTTTGGTGGGTGTTGGGCAGTGGGGTTTGGTCGACGGGATGGTGGTCGACGGAAGCAAAAGTGGGTGGTGGTGAGGTTGTTTTGGACGTGAAAGAAAAGGAAGCAGTGGGGTTGGGTTTTCCTTCAGTTTTCTTCTTCTTCAAAAATGAAGAAGAAGATGAACAGTAGCTTTTCTTTTCCTCCTATCCATTTTTCACGTTCTGTCCCTTTTCCTTTTCTTAAAAAATTGTTTGCTTTTAAAATTCTTTCAATCCTCTTCTTTTCTCACGTTCTGTCCCCCCTTGTCAAAAAATTTCAGCCTTTTTCATTTTCCATCCCCCATGTGTTTTGTCCTTGTTCAAAGGATATGGACCCCACGTGTAGGGGTCCAAGACTAGTGTCCCCCATGCGTGGTGGGGTTCCCCGTGTGTGGTGTTCCGTCCGTGTTCCCCACGCGTATCCCCCATGTGTGGTGGACTCGGATTATTATGGGCTAGGTCCAAAAATTAGGCCTAAAAACGGGTAGTTTAAACCCAAATATTATTCTTTTGCCCGGACCCGAGAATAAAACACGATGTTATTCAATTAATCCTATGCAAGCAAAATAACTACAAAAATAAGACTATCTTTTAAAACAAAACTATTTCTTTCTTTTTTTTTTAGTATTTTTCAAGATTAAAATAGCTACAAAGCATAAATAAAACTATTTTTGTCATTTTCGTTTTTTATATAAAGATAAAATATAAAGTACTATTTTTTGTATTTTTCAAGATTAAAATGGCTACAAAACGTTAATAACTCTTTTTTTTATAATTTTCGAAATTATACAACGATAAAAATATAAAGTACTATTTCTATATTTTTTAAGTTTAAAATGACTACAAAACATTAATAAAACTACATTTTTATAATTTTCGAAATTATATAAAGTATAAAAAATAAGGTACTATTTTTGTATTTTTTCAAGTTTATGAGAAATACATAAGCTAAAATTTACATATATATTTTTTGTAATTTTTCTTTTGCGACGAAATAAGGTAAAATAGTCAAAATAGCTATATTAGACTCAATTCAAATATTAACGTTTTGTAGCCCTCTTTTTTTTCTTTTTTTTTTTTTTTTTTTATTTTTGATAAAACTAAAATTCTAAATTGAGCTACAAACTAAATTGACTCCAAAAATACTAATTAAACTCCTAACAAAAATTATCATACACAATTAAACACCAATTAAAACAAAATTGCATAATTTGACATTAAATGCTAACAATGCAAAATATTCCTATTTTTGTGACTTTCATTTTATTTGTAAAACAAACTTAATTAAATACTAAATGAAAAATGTGATATATTTTATATTTTTATTAATTTAAACAAATAAACATGCACTCATAAAAATACAAATAATTATACAAAAATAACAAAAATTGCACACAAAGGAAAATTGTTTTATTTTGAATTTTTTGGGAGTAATTCTTTCATAGGGCAAAAATCACGTGCTTACATCCTTCGACATCAGAGTCAAGGCAAAGGCCCCTTTCTCCTGGTATAGCATGCAGGGGATGACAACCCCAAGAGCAATAAATTCAAAGGTACAACTACTGCTCAAACTGGCCAGTCTAAGAGCCAGTTGTGGTAGTGGCTCCTGCTGAGCCTACCTCCATTCCCAAAGATACCCCTCCCGGTCCTTCTACATCCACAGCCACTCCTACTGGTCCATCCGCCTCAGCAGGCCGGAAGATTCCATCTTCCCGGGCCCATCCTATTACTGCTCATCGACTAAGCCTGGCGCTTCTTAGCATAAACATCTGGATGCATACTGCCTTATCTAAGTTGTCCACACTCACCACTGTGGTAGAGGCACAGTCAGCACCTCCACCAGCACAGGTTCCACAGTCGATAGAAGATGCTCTCAAGGAGATACTTGACAACCAAAAAAGATCCTCGACATAAAGGCAGTGCTCTCAAAGGCAGTTGATTCACATAGCAAGGCTCTAAAGGAGCTTGCTCGGGAGCACAAGAAGTTGTGGAAGACACGGGCCTCCAAAGAGTCCGTGAAGGAGCTTAGAGTAGATGTAGACAGACTGAAGGCGGATCACCTACCTTTAGATTTACTGCTCTAGGACCCAGCACTAGCTGTTCATCTAGAGCCGGAGCAGCCACAAAGGCCTCCCAAGAGGAATAGGATGATCCCTCGAGCTGATGATGCAGTGATCCAGCTGGCTGACCCACAGGAGACCTCTTCCAGTCAGCCACAGGGTGCACTACCTATAGAGCCTGTCCAGGTCCAGGCCCAGGTCCCAGTAGCAGAGCAGTAGGCCACAGGGGACCAGTCTGAGGTCCCCGAGCACATAGAGGACCCAAGAACCACACATGAGCCTATGCAGACAGACGGGCCATAGGGAGCCTTCTATATCCTTTTTCCTCTTACCTTTTTGGTGCTTTATTTAGACTAGTTGGCATTGGGGATAATGCCAGCTTTCATTTGAGGGGGTAAGCCCTACATTTTGGATTATTGTATATATTTAACATTTTTTATGCTTTCTTGATTTTTCATCTTTGGTCTGTATATAATTCTGATATTTCGTTACATTTATCGCATTTTTATTTCACTTTGGGTCTGTATATAAAGATTATATCACATTGTATATATTCATCCCATCCATTATATATTCAAATCCCCTCTTGTATATATTCATTCTATTTTACGCAAAATTTTTTGTTTTTAGCTTCTTATTTGTGATTCGTAGTTTTTTGTTTTCGAAGTTTGCAATAAGCCTTTGGTTTTCTTAATGCCACGGTTCTTTCCAAAGGTGGAGTGTTATGTGAACCGGGTGGCTCTTCCCAATGATGGATTGCGTGACAACCTTCTAAAGGGTTTGAGTCCGTTTTTCTTTTTGTTTTTAATAGTTAGCAGTTAAGGGTGCCTCAAACAAAGCTTCACTTGGGCCTAGCACATTTGCCTTTGATCTCATGGTCAAAAATAAATTGTTATGTTTAGGATGGTGAAAGTCGTGACNCGCTCTCCTTGATCCAAATGATAGTTTGAACAATTTCATAGCCTAACAATGATAAGATCCCTAGTTAACCCTTTTGAGCCTTAGACCTTTTTCTTTCAAGAACCATGATACAAGCCTATACCCGTTCTAAAATATACCCTCTCTTGGCACCCATTCTTTCCTTTAGCACATGACAAAAGTATAAGTTTGGGGGGAGAGACGAGAATTGCAACAAAGTGGTAAAAAGGCACAAAATGAGGAAAAGGAAAGGCAATGAAAAAGAAAGAAAAGCAAAAAGACAAAAAGAATGTTCAATATAAAAAAGAATAAAAAGGGATTCAAGAAAAGCAAAGAATGAAAGGTGTGGAAAGTTGAAAAAGGAGAAAAGGTTTGAAATGTCTAAGAAAGAGTGACAGTGTGTCTCTCTAACCCCTTAGGAAGAAGTGAAATGACTCAAAGAGTCAAGTGAATATATGCCAAATGAATCAAAAGAAGTGTTTAAGGGAAGATGGAACCTACTTAGATCAAAACATTTCATATCCTGAACCAAAAGCCTTCACAATGTCTCCACAGAAGTCCTATATGATCTTTACTTGAATAAAGCTTACATTAGTGGATACTCATATAAGGGGCAAGCATATGGTACTTAGAGCCGGACTTGTGACTTTTTCTTGAGAGAGATGAGTGAATTTTCATTAACCTCGTTTTGCGTGCCACTATTCTAAAGGTGAGGTTTTCTTAGGGAGAGTTGAGGATGGGTGAGTTTGGATTCCACAATGACCAAAGTAATTGAAAGAGTTCGTTGATGTGTTGAGTCAACTCTTGATGCTCTTGTGTCGCACTTAATCCATGATGTTTCAAAGGGTAAATGTTGTTAATGATTCATTTGTATTGAGGGCAATTGTTAGTCCCAATTGATGCTAGTTGAGGTTGCTTTAGGACAACTAAAAATTTCTTGGATTTTCCCTTAAGGGATGGGTCTTATTTTGTTTTCTTGAGGACAAGCAAAAGCTTAAGTTTGGGGAAGTTGATAACTAAGGATTTTGATGCATTTTATACTCTTTCTTGCTCATGCTTTGATTAGAAACTCATACAAAATAGTCCCAAAAGGCTCATAAGTTGTGCTTGATTGCAGGTTTGATCAACAAAGTGACAAGATGTCAAAGATCAACTCCAAAGGAGTGAAACTTGCACAAGTACCAAAGAAAAGACAAGCTCACGCCAAATTCCAAAGTCATTGACAAAGCTTGAGCACCTCATCTATCTGAATGTCTCTTTCAATGAATTAGCTGGTGAAATTCCAGATGAAGGACCTTTTGGTAATTTCACTGCTGCATCATTCATCGGCAACACGGAGTTATGTGGATCGTCTAGATTCCACGTCAAGGCGTGCAAAAACCAGAGCAATATGGGAAGAAACAGGAAGAAAACAGTTTTAAAATTTGTTCTTGGACCAGTTATAGTTGGAACCATAGTCATGGGCATATTCTTTATTTGGTTGCTGAAATATCGAAAACGAAACGACCAAGTTATTCCTTTAACTGCTTTGTATGGTCAATCACACAAGAGGTTTTCTTACTATGAAATTGTTCGAGGGACTAACAACTTTGAAGAGTCGAATTTGATTGGAAAGGGAAGCCTTGGTATGGTGTATAAGGGGACATTTGCCAATGGGGTTGTAGTTGCTGTAAAGGTTTCAATGCACAAGTGCAAGATGCATTTAAGAGGTTCGATTTGGAGTGTAAGGTTTTGCGTAACATTCGCCATAGAAATCTTGTTAAGGTGATAAGTAGTTGTGCGAATCTTGATTTCAAGGCTTTAGTGCTAGAGTACATGCCTAATGGAGATCTTGATTATTGGCTTTACTCTCACAATAATTTCTTGGATTTAGTCCAAAGAATGAAAATTATGGTGGATGTGGCTTCTGCCTTAGAGTATTTACACCAAGGTCATTCTCTTGTTGTGGTCCATTGCGACTTAAAACCAAGTAACATACTTTTGGATGAAAAGATGGTAGCCAGAGTAGGTGACTTTGGTATATCCAAACTCTTGACGGTAAATGATCCAGTAGCATTGACCAAGACCTTAGGCACCATTGGCTACATGGCACCAGGTGAATTCTCTACTTACTAGTAATTTCTTTGACTCGTACTCTATATTTATATCAGACGATACGGATTCAGAATTTAAATTTGATGGATAACTAGCAAAATGTTGTAGAGTATGGGTCAGAAGGGATAGTGTCAACAATGGGGGATGTTTACAGCTATGGTATTCTATTGATGGAGACCTTCACAAGAAAGAAGCCAGTGGATGATCAATTTGTGGGAGAGCTTAACTTGAAGAGATGGATAGCTGAATCATATCCTCATAGGGTCATGGGAATTGTGGATGCTAATTTATTTTCAAGAGATGATCAACATTTGATAGCTATAGAAACTTGTATGAGATCAGTATTGGAATTAGCTCTCGAATGTACTGTGGACTCGCCCCAAGACCGAATTACCATGAATAATGTCTTTGTAAGGCTCAACAAGATCCAAACTCTATTTTTGCACAATGTATCTAGAAACTAGACGAAGCTGGAAAAATGTACGCTAACAAACAGGCTGTTTGGATTGTGTTTTTTCAATTGTATTATTGCTTTAAATGTTATGTTAGTTCCATTTACGTAATAATAAAAAGACACTTTTTATTATCAACCAATTTGATGCGGTGGGTTGTTACATAAGTTTCTCTGTCCCATTCGTTCGCCCAACTTGTATCACTTGTATTCGTTCGCGCAATGAATACAACCAAGGTGAAAGACGCAGTATTCATTCGCTCAACCTGTATCGATTATATTCGTTCGCGCGAGCACTCTAACCAACGAAGCTACAAGAGTTTGTTACTCTCTTGTTTTAGTTCAAAACAATTAATCTTTTGTTTCATGGATTTGCTATAAAATTCAAATTTAGCAACAAATGCTAAAATTTGCTGAAAGTATAGCTACGAATAGTAAATATAGTGTATATGTTTAACGCATCGCGTAGTTTTCCCTATTTTAAACCTTCTTTTTTCACAGTACTCTTCTCTCTTGCCGTTATACAAGTTTTAATTTAAACTTCTTGCTACTAATTTCTTGTCAGTAATCATCTGTTTTTCCTCCTTTTTTAAAATTGAACCGAGCGAGCATAAATATGATATATATATATATTGACTATATCATTGTTGCATTCATGGTCAAGGTGGTTACAGGACAGGCTGGACCAGACTTATGGTGGAAAAACCCAATTACCGTAACGGATTAGTTAGTATGCTGGGTAAGCAGGTTGGTAGTGGACGGGGTATTTTCGAGTTCTATTGGGCTCGTCGAGGTTTGGGCCTATCCGGTTCGAACCGGGCCGCGGGAATTGGTTTTAGTGTTTTTTTTTTAATTTTGTTTTATATATCTATTTTAGTGTATTTGATACTTGAGCGTTTACAACAACAACAACGACGTTTTATGGTTTACAAACTTCTAAATTATAAATACGTATTTTTAAGACATAAGTTTAAAGTTTAAATTTAAAATTTAAAATTAAGTGCTAATTAGATCAATATACAAGGACAAAACTTTAAAGGCTTTTATGGACTAATACTTCAAATTAAATTTGCAAGTTCTATTTTAATTTTTTATTTTTGAACTTGCAAACTAAAAGTTTACAACAACTAATAAAAATAAGAAATAGTACATTCACATGTATTGCATCATTTTTGTTAACCTCTTCCGTATCAACAGGAGCGTTTGGGCCTCCTAGTGTGCTTAAATCGGAACCATTTAGTATTATATCTCCAATTTCCTCGTCCTAAGGTGCATCTGCTTCTTCACGTCCTTGATTTCGTCGCTATGATGTAATCCAATATCCGAAATACAGTAGAATTTTTAAAATTTTGTTATCCAATGAGTGACAGGTATCTCCTAGATGCTGCCTTGCTTGGCTAATTATGCTCTTTGATGCAACTGTTAAACTTAGCACGTTTAACGTGTTTCAAGCCATTGTCGAAAGAACAAAAAGTTGTGCTGAGTTGCTCTTTCACCAATCCAGCAGTAAAAATTTCTTTGGGTGGTGCTCTATTACCTTTTGCAAGTAGAATTGTAGTTCATCAATGCTCCTGCTACTAGGTTGATATTCGCTTAGTGTGGACCAAATAGCATAACCTTCAGGACTCATCATCCTCCATAACAACGAATGTAGATGTAAAACTCAAACTTGATGGAATATTTTCATTAACATCTACATCAAAAGAAGCATCAACTATGTTGGCATAATAATTATATAAAACGTGTAAATTTGTATTTAGGTCAGAAATACAAGTGTGAACATTAGGGGTTTTAATTAGTCCAATATTTATATAGGTATATAAAGCATTGATTATTTAGTAACAAGTAACCATCTTGATAGAAGAGTTTAAGATAGCACTTATTAGGTAAATATGTTTATGATGATAGAAATATTTCTTGAATTTTGCTTGCATTAATTCAACAACAGAATTATACTTTTTTGGCCTTAAATTGAGATAGTAAAAGAGAAATTTCAGTTATGTGTACTAAATCATTTACAATAGGAGGATAATAAGCTTCCAAAAACTCAAGTACAGTAACATATAATTTTTTTGTAAATATTTTACTATATCTTCAATGGCGTTCCAAGTATTAAATATCAACAAAAGGTTAGGATCGGTATAATGCCTATTAACAACTTTAGTTATAGGCAATCCATATTTATAGTAATGTCTTAAGAATGTATAAGTATAATTCCACCTAGTAACTATTTCTTCAGGTATAAGTTTTGGTTTTAGGTTATAATGCAAATATTTGTCCTTAAATGCCTTTAAATCTACCTTAATCACACTTCCAAATAATGTTAAGCAATACATCAAAATACCTGCCCAAGTGATCAACAGAATGAGCCACTATCAAAGAAATTTTCTTTGGGGCACTACTGAACATAAAAAGAAAATACACTTGATTAAAGTACAAAAACCTAAGCACCAAGGTGGTCTAGGTATTTAAAACCTAACTACTAAAAATAAAGCACTTTTAGAAAACTTAGCTTGGCGTCTTTTTAAATGTCCCACCACCCTGTGAACATCTCTACTACTATCTAAATATAAAAACACCGCCAAAGGCTCTAACACATCACTTACCTGAAAAAATATACAACTAGGATGGAAATTTTGCCAACTAGGTTTAGTATGGCATATTGCTAAAGGAACGCACATACACTTCTGGAACGTGCCATAGATTGGATCTAATATTATTCTTCGAAATTCTATACAGGGACCCCTACCCTTTCAGGAATTACATGCCACAGTCAGCCACCACATCACCAACAATCAAATTGATACAACTTCACTACCTTTTGTTATTCCAGAACATCCTTTTAGTGATTAACCAAATCTACATTCCAGCTTTAACTAACCCTCACGTCTTCGATCAACTCATTTGAGGGCTCACTCCCATTGACCAATTCTTTGTTAAATCATTATATCATACTTTAGACAACCCAACAACAACCTACACACACAATTGGATTTGGAAATTACAATTACCTCCAAAAGTAATACATTTTCTTTGGCTAATCTCACACTAAAGATTAGCCACAGCTACTTACCTTCACCATATACATGTCACACAATCTAATATATGCAATCTTTGTCTTCAAATCACAAAAACAATTAGCCATCTTCTATTCCAATGCGCTACCACAGCTACTATGTGGTCTCAGTTAGGGCTTGCCAATACCTTACATGTTTGTGATATCCTACACTCAACACCCATCCAAATTATACATCAATTAATCAATAACTCTCCAAGCCTCCCTTTCAACTTGCCCCCATGCATTCTTATCCCACACATAATATAGCATATTTGGAAGCTCAGAAATCACTATCTCTTTAAACGACACTCACAACCCCCTCCTTCAACACAGAATTTGCTATCACAAGTAGTAGAATATCACTACCTTATTCAACAAAATGCACAAGCACCCACACACATGTATGTCAAATGGCACCCACCACCTTTAGGTAAAATTAAATTAAACACTGACGGAGCCGCCAAAGATAATCCAACTAAAAATGGTATATGAGGAGTATTCCGCAATGCAATGGGACACTGTGAGCACGTGATTTTTTTCCTATATGAATTACTCCCACAAATTCAAAACAAAATAATTTCTTTCATTATTTGCAAATTTCGTAGATTTTTGTAGCATTTCTGTTAATTATTTGCATTTTTTGTTTTGTCTGTGCATTTTAATTAACGAAAAATACAAAAATATATGTGCATTTGCATTCAGGATTTAATTTAATATTTTAGGGCTAATTAAGCAATTAGGTCGTTTATAAAAGGAAAATTACACAAAAATAGTTTAATTTGCATTTTTAATTTTAAATTTTGATTTTAAGTAGCTTTCCCTTTAATTTGTTTTTTTAATTGTGACAATTATAATTTGGGTTTAATTAGTGTTTGTTAGGTGAATTAAGTTCTAGGAATTAATTTAGATTTTTATTTAATCTTGAAAAAAAAAACAAAGAGAACTTTTGGAAAAATTGAAATAGGTGAAAATAAAAGGAAGAGCATTACCAATTGGACTCATCCCCAATTTTCTTGTCCAAGCCCAAATTGAAATCCTTCACCCCACCCCAATTATGCCAAGCCCGCCCGGCCAACCCGTCTGCAACCCGACCCGCCCCCTAAATAATGGGTTAAACCAAAATGAAACAAGCGGATGAGACCTTAAGTCCCAAACGATGCCTACTGTTCTTCTTCTCCAAATCGCTCGAACCAGGCCCCAAATTCAGTCCAGATTCGGGCGAGTGAATCCCAAATCTTGCCTCACGCGTTCCCCCTCTCTCCTCATCACCATTTTTAACGGTTTCTGACACCAAAGATTCTCCTTTCCTCTCACTCGATCGAATTCGAGTTTTATCGCACGATTGGAAGGCTCTGGAGACGAGATGATGGATGAGTGTGAGGTGTTGGATTGATTTCACTCAATCCGAGCCCCACATTCATCAAGGATTGGTCTTCAAAAGAAGCCTTATCCGATTTTGTGAAGGGGGACTCAAAAAAAGAATTTTCTGAAAAAGGGTTGAAAAAGGCTCTAAAACTGATGGTTTTCGGTTTGTTTTCTCCTTTGAAGAATTTTTAAAGTTCAGAGAAAGACACATACAACTCTTTTTTTTTCTGAATACGGATTTGAGTTCCAAGGAGATAAAATTGAAGTTCGAGTTTGGTTTTCTACTGTCGTTTTGTTGATTTGCTGCTGAACCTCGCTAAGATTTGGAGTCGAGAGGTGTATTGTCGAGTCTGTAATTGTTATAAAGGAGATTTGCAATTTCAGGTTCATCTCTTCTCCGTCTTTCCATTACTCATGGTTCTGTTTCATGTGTTCATGTTTGTTATGATTTTGTTTAAGACTACTTGAGAGTCAGTGCTCGTTATTTGATTTTGAATGTTGAGTTCCTTTGGCCTTGGTTCAGGTTTTTCGTATTCTTGGTTATTCTACATCGGACGAGTGATTGCACACAATGATGTAATGGTTGTGGTTGTGTAACATCGTCTCACTCGTTTGTTTTTAAAATTTGAGCACTAAAACAGAGTCATGAGGTTTTAAGGGTTGGAACCTGCTTGTTCGATCATTTTATTGGTCTGGCCATAGTTTAAGCACCAAGTAACTTGTGTGCTTAGTTCATTTTTAAATTAGTAAGTTTAATTTAACTTCTTATTGAATTGCGACTAGCTGAGATTTTAGGGTAAAGTCTGTTCAAGTTGTGTCGATTTTTCTGATGCATTGTAGCTGAAATGTGAGTTCGAACATCAACTGCTTGTTGGGGATATGATTTTACTTGTGATCGAATGTTTTGGGGACTGTTACTGAATGCATTTTAGTCGATGGTGGCAGCAGCGACTCTAATTCAAGTTGCTATTCTGAAAATGTATGAACTAAATTTGTTTCCTTTGAATTGAGAGTTTCTGATCACAAATCCTGAGCTGCCTTTTGTCTGAGAGTTCAGAAGACCCCTGTTGGCATTCTTATGATGCTTGGCGTGCAAAACTCCAGTCACAACTGGATTCAGCAGACCAGTTTCTGTATAGAAGCTGTATAGCAGCTGTGCATCACTTGTTCCTTCCAGATTTCAGATTGCGAATAGGGCTGTTGCACTTCATTCTTCTGTCCACTGTGTGCATGACCTACTGAAACAAAAGGCTTGCATTGGCAACTAGGAAATTGGGAATGCTGTTTAAAATGTGAATCACCTAGTTCGTGGCTGCATATCTTAGCATCTGGTTGCATTAGTCTTACACTTAATGGTCACACCACGAGCTTCATCATTCACTGGATAAGAAGACTTACAACCACTGTCCTCCTTAATAACTTTGTTAAATGAACTGCCACCATAGTATGTATAACTAGAACTCGAGCTTCTTTTGCATTTCCATTGAAACACACTTCTTCTTCTTTCATGCTAGTACTGATGGAAGTTTATAGGGAATCTGTTTGCTTTGTCCACTCATTTGAACAAGAAAAGGAATAAAAACAGAAATTATTTTGTTGGCCTCAGTTTCTCTGATAGACTAAGTCTATTATTCAGAGATATTGATGTTTGCTTGAGACATTTTCATATTCACTATTGCGCTGGAACTGTTGTGACGCAGAACAACGCGAGTTGAGTCAAGCAACCAAATTTAGAGGAAGTTAAGTGATTAGGAGGGGACAGCAGGGGTTACAGTCGTCAACTTCATACTGTTTACTCATTTGTATTGCTACATAGAGTTTTGCAGACCCTAGCATGCATTTTGCAGAATTGCTTGTGTTTGTTTGTTTTTGTCCAGGATCTTTGAACTGGCCATGTGGCCAAATTTAAGAGAGTAATTTCAAGCAAAATAATATGGGCCCAGCGAATGAGCTACCATGCCCTTCTCCACGTTAATATTTCTGGGTTGTATATCCATGTGCCTTGAGTTAGCCCGTTTGCTTTTCACAGTGTAGTTAGCCCGAAACTCGTGGCCTTAGCAATCCTAACTCGATTTTAGGAATAATTGTTGAATATTCGTAGAGAAGCCTTTAGGCCCGTTTAAAATACAATTGTGATTGTGTACACATTCGCGTGATATGATTACAATTCTAAAATCCAATTCGGAGTATGCGTTCGCGCAACTTCGAACAAACATTCTTAATAATAAAAATGGATTTTCGTAGGTTATTAATTAAATTAGCTCATATAGTCCGAGGTGCGCCGTCTACCATTTAATCATACAAAATGACAAATGTTTGTAGTTTGCTTTAGATAAGCGCAACTTTGGCCAAATCTTTCTTTTTTTTATAAAGTGATATTAATTATGGACGCATTCACGTGACATGATTTTTCACACGCCAAACAAATTGGTACACATAAATGCACATATGTCCTAAAAATGAGTAGTTAAAGGAATTTAAGCCAAGTAATAATTACTAAGCGACCGTGCTAGAACCACAGAACTTGGGAATGCCTAAAACCTTCTCCTGGGTTAATAGAATTCCTTACCCAGATTTCTGTGTTCGCAGGCTATTAAACAAAGTCAATATTTTCCTCGATTCGGGATTCAACCGGTGATTTGGGACACCATAAATCTCCCAAGTGGCGACTCTGAATTTCTTAATATAATCCCGTTTCGATTGTCCTTTAATTGGAAAAACTCCCTTGTATTTATACTTTTTACGGGGTGTAGGTAAAAAGGAGGTGTGACAGCTCTGGCGACTCTGCTGGGGGTCGAACCCAGAATCTCTGGTTCAGGGTTCAAGAATTCGAGCTTATTAACATGATTTTTACTTGGCTTTATTTATTGTTAATATTACTGTATTCTGTGAACCTTTTGTGCTAAATGCTATCTGTTTACCACTTTAATATTATTTGAATTGTACGCCACCCCATCTGAGTCTTCTGGAAATGGTGCATACGTTCGCGTAGCCCGCTTTTGCTGTAGAAATTACACCAAATAGAACGAGGCTGGGCAAGCAACAAGGCCGGGTAGACTTCAGTGCTCCCGGTACATCGCCCCCTCCTCGGCCCCAGTTGTCCGCTCGGGTACCCCAAGTCTAGACCAAAACCCCAGGATTTAAACCTAGAAAAATACAGCCCCATGTCGGATCCCTAATAGGAACGTTTGTTTGCATCATGTGCATTTGACTTTGGGGACTCAACACAGGGGTTGGGTCCGTCTAGGACAGGTGTGCCCGAAATAACAGACCATCCTGATGCATCCTATGTGCTATGTGAACATTTATTTGTTTTGGCTTGCTGACCGGCTAGGGAAAATAAACCGAAAAAAGGAAGAGAGGAAAACCATGAATGATATAGGGAGGGAAATAAGACTCGGTTCTAAAACATCTCGGTATTTGAAAAGCGTCCCGAAACTCTGCCCAAAATTTTTTCAAAAGGGGGGGGG